CAGCCTTCTCCATACTGCAGAGAGCTGCTATGCTTCCTTTCTCCTCTTCTCTGGTTAGACCCTCTCAGTCCTTCATTTGCTCTGCTTAAAGGTCTGCATTTTTAGACTTTTTACCACCTTTTCTGGGAGTGGCCCAGTTGGTCAATATTTTCTTAAAAATGGTGCCTAGTACATTCCCCCAAAAATTGAAAGCAGGGTCTTCATTGGATACTTATACACCCATAGCCATGGTTAGAACAGCATTATTCACTATTGCCAATAGGTAGAAGCCATTCCATCAGTGGATGAATGAATGAGCAAAATGTGGTCTATACATACACTGCAATGTTATTCAGCCTCAACAAGGAAGGGAATTCTGACATATGCTACAACATGGATGAACCTTGATGATGCTGTGTCAAGCAAAAAGCCAGGCATGAATAGAGAAACACCATATGATTCCACTTATGAGGTACCCAGAGTAGTCAAATTCATAGAGATGGAAAGTAGAAGGGTGATTGCCAGGTGGAGGGGGTGGGTGAGGAAGGTAAATGGGTGTTGCTATTTAGTGAGTATAGAGTTTCAGTTTTGCAAGAAGAAAACGTTCAGTAAATTGTTGCACAAAAATGTGAATTTACTGAACACAACAAAATTTAAAATTGGTTCGTATGGTGATTTTTATGTCTATTTTATCACAATTCTAAAACAAAAGTCCAGCCCAGAGCTGGACAGACCCTTCTAAATGTGTTAAGGCTAATGTGGAGTATGCTGGGGCTGTGGTTTTTCCTTTGCTGTCAACCCCTACCTTCCTCAGACTGTGAGCCTTGCCCTTCCTAGTAGCCATCTTATACTACCTATGTGGTCTAGTGAAGCCCAGCCCCTCCGCCCCAACTTCTCTTCACATGAATTTCTGCCAAACTATCCTGAAATAGTATAATTGACTTCTCTAGTTTTTATCTGGCTTTTAAGAAATATTATCACTTCAGTGGAGAAAATAACTATCTTTTGGAAATTAAACTTTCTTCTTTATAGTCATTCTAAGTTTTCTATGTCTTAGCTTTACTTCCCAAAGAAAAAAGAACCTCTGATATTGTTCTGAAATAATTTCTGAATGAGGCTTATGAAAATATGTCAGTAAACCTATGTTATGACTAATATCTAAGAATCTAGAAATGTATAGTTGGTACTTCTGCCAATATTTCTGTGCTGAAGCTAATATTTCTTTAGTCATTTTTAAGTGCTCTTAGCATAAAGCAATAATAAAAACAACTATCTTCCAATGGGAAATCAAGCATTGCAATGATCAACTTTTGATGTTCTTAATAACTTCTAATTTAGAGAATGCCATCAGTAAAAAAAGACCACTGGCTTGAGAACAAAAGTGTCAAATATAGACACAGTCTTGTAATTTATTTGGGACCATTAACCTGAACATGAAATATGTAATTCAAAGCTCTGTTACTTTCATGCCACTGGCAGGTGCAATCACGTTTGACTCTCACATCTATGTATGTTTTGAAATTTTCTCAGATAACTAAATACGTTTAGCTCTCCTTTCTCAAGTTTCAGCAACTACTTGATCTTATTTATTTATTTGAGATCTGGAGGCATGTGTTTGGAAAAGCTGAGTGCAAGAGAGATGAAAGGTATTCATAGAGAAAATTATATTGTGGTAGTTTCCAAATACTACCTGCTTCTGGAAGTGTAATTTCCAGAACCTTTTAGGAGATGAAAAGGCTTGTAAGAGCTCAGTCACACTTTGCAATTATAGAAAATTGTTAGTTGCATTTAAATCAGTCGACTGTACCAATGGACCAATTTGATTTAAAAAAAAATTCTATCCCAGAATATCTATAGGTCAAGTCATTCAAGTGCCATACAGAAGAACAGACGACTCACTACATCAGCACTAAAAAAAAAAAAAAAAGGAGGATACGTGAATCATTTACAGTTGTTTTGAGAATGCCAATTTAATAGCAACATACCCCCAGAATTTTTTGTTTTTTTCTGAAAAGACTGAACTCTAAGAACAAAGTACATTTTGTACGTGGGACTTCTCCCATACTCTAGCTTCGCAAAGAACATTTGATTTTAACTAAAGAGTAAAATGGAAATATAAGTCCCGTAGTTCCTAGATTTTGCATGTAGGATTTTTGGTGACTTTCTGTGATTGGCTTGGTAAAGGGCATGTGGACACATCGTTCTATTCATCCTGATGGTTTTCTACATAATGACTATGAAACAGGACTGGGGCAGGGAGGGCAAAATCAAAACTACATGCGCTCAAGATAAAACCAAGACAGTGTTTAACATGCGCTCATACAAAATACTGTTGATAATACATACTGCTTATACTGTTGATAATACAAAAAATTCATAGTTTTGATTTCAAAAAATTAATCCAGATCTCTTGTGTACATATGATGAAGCTTTGGGGGGAAAAATAGTTGCATCTACTCAATGTATGCCTGAATGGGCAAACTTGTGGCCTGGTTGTGGTTGCTATAACTTTACCCTAATTTTCAGTGTTTGTTATCTATAGGTTGGTGGTGGGTTTTTTTTTTTTTTCTTTTTCATTTAGAATTTCCTATGATGTCGGAGAATGAGAATAATCCACAGAAGGAGTTGTATAATCAGATGTTGGGAGCTGGCTGGACAAAGTTCATGGGAGGTTTGACCGAGTTTCTGAGGCAGTAACCTGGTGGGACATGTGAGCTTCATTGGGCTCTGCTGGAAAGAGAAAGAAAGATATCATATCTGTGGAACAGGATTCTTGAACTTTTGTTACTGTCTCTACAATGTTCAAACAAGGAATAAGGAAGAGCTTAGTGGATATTTTATATGTGCCTTCTCTACAATTTGAACCTAACTGGAATAAAGAATTGGAGGAAAGAACTACCTTGCTTTCATTCACTCTTAAAATCTACACCATCACCATTCCTTTCAAACACACTCTCCACTCGGTAGTGCTGAAGACCAATATTTTGGTGTTGCCCCCTATATTCTTGGCACCCTGCAAAATATCTAGCAAATCAATAACTATCTTCCCCAAAATTTAAGAAGAAAAATTTTCAAACATAGAGAAATGTCTAAGAATTTTGCAGTGAACACCACTCTAACACCTAAATTCTACCATTAAGACTTTACTGGCTGGGTGAGGTGGCTCATGCTTCTAATCCCAGCACTTTGGGAGGCCAAGGCAGGAGGGGGATCACCTGAGGTGAGGAGTTTGAGACCATCCATGGCCATCATGGTGAAACCCCGTCTCTACTAAAAATAACAAAAACTAGCTGCGCAAGATGGCATGTGCCTAATCCCAGCTGCTCAGGAGGCTGAAGCAGGAGAATCACCTGAACCTGTGAGGTGGAAGTTGCAGTGAGCCGAGATTGTGCCACTGCACTCCTGCCTGGGCAACAGAATGAGACTCCCTCTCAAAAAAAAAAAAAAAAAAAAAAGACTTTACTGTTTTGCTTCAGCATGTATCTACCCACCCAGGCATCCTCCCGGATCCCTCTAATTTTGTATGCATTTCAACGTAAGTTGCCAATATCATTTCACTTCCCCCTAAATGTTTCAGCACTCATATAACTGGAGGTGAATCTTTGTTCACAATCCTTTTTTTCTCTTTTGAACACCTAATGAAATGCAACAATCTTAAATGTACTATTTAATGAATTTTGACAAATGCATACACCTGTGTAACCCAAACACTTATCAAAATGTGGAACATGACTCCAAAATGCCCTGAGAAGAGCCTCAAGCCCACCCTAGTCAATTTCTACTACTACCTACCCACCCTCAAAATCACTCTTATGATCCTTTTTTCACCAGTCTTGCCTGTTCTGGAACTTTGTATAAATGAATTCATACAGGATGTAGTGTTTTGTGCCTGGATTACTTCACTCAGCAGAATATTTTTTAGACCATCCATGTTACTGCTTATAATAGCAGTTCTCAATAAATATTGGATTGTTTTAACCACAGTGTTGATTAACCAAGGATTGCAGTTGATTAAATGTAATTAAATACAGCTAATATAGCTTGAATGTCTCTTATAAAGCCTTTGGGGGTTCAGAAGTGCTATATGTTGTTGACTAAGTAAAGTGGGGCAAGTTTCCTGAAAAAAGAAAAAATGAGGCATCATCTTTTTAGAATTAAAGGAAAAGACATCCAAAGATGATGTTCTGAGCACACGAGACAGGTCAGATGGTAACTGACTACAAGCCTCTCCCCTTCTCTCAGGTATAGGTATAATACCTAAGATGGCATTTTCCACAGAAATGTTTTTTCTGGAATATTCATTTACACTTGAAGCCTATACCCTAAAGCAGGATTAGGGCTGGCCAAGGGGAAATCTCTGTATTTCAGTTCTTTCAGAAGCAGTTCCTTATTCTCTAAAGTGGGGGGCTAACAACTGGTTTCAAGGAAGTGGAGGATTGAGCTTCCACTCATTGTCTGTGGTGGTAAACGTGACTGGCTTTTTGGGGGAGTCCCAATTATTTGGAAGAGCCCCAACTGAAAATTTTCAAATGAATTCCCTCCAGCCCACAACTCCCTCTCTAAAAGTGGGTTCCCAGGCTCAGGAAGGGTGTGGGACTCTGTGCTATTTGACATGAGAATTTTGTGTTTATTAGTGATTTGACATTCCTGTTAGGGTTAATCAGGTAGTTTTAACCTCTCAGAATCTACGTTTTCTTTCCTATCAGTCAAATGGGCCAAATTCACTGGTGGACTGGAGGTGACACGAGCTTGCACGAGGCCCAGATTGCAACTGGAGGCACCTGCAATCTCAGCCCTTCTGGGTGAAGCCAGGTGGAGATCTAAATTCTTCAACTAAAGGTTTGGCTCCACAGGGTCCTTCCTGAGGGCCGTGTGGGGCATACGGCACAGAATTAAAACAGGGTCAGATACAGGGCACTCCAAGGAGTGTGCACTTTGAGATCACACCAGCCTTTTTCAGCACCGTTTTGCTTTTAAACCATCACTTAGCAACCAAAACTCAGGGATATTTGGGAGTAGAAATGAGAACAGGACAGGTAAGTTGGGGAGACTGGTGTTGATGGAAACTTCAGTGAGAAAAGTGTAGATGGGATTACATTTGACAACTGGATGCCTTGCATTTAGGATAACTAGGGCTTTGAAGGGAGGGTGGGGCACACTGAAACACCCAGGTTGTTGCTGCCTACCCCAGCTGCTAACATGACCATTTGTGAACTTGTTCTGTTCTTAGAAACCACCCTTCCAAAATATGGATTCTCTCGCCAGTGCTCAAGACAAGACACATTATACCACTAAGTAAGCACTTTTCTTAGGAGTATTTCTTAGGCTGTTAAGATGCCAAGACTCCTAAGCCATCCTTGGTAACTTCGAACCTATGTAAAGGGGTCAGTTAGCTGCCCTAGTTTATTCCTCAGAATGATGAGATCTGGCACTTAAAATATTGTTCATACTGAGCCTCCCATCAAATGCAATAAGTAGATAACCACAAATACCCACCGTCTTATGCTCTCATAACTCATAATGTTGGAAACTATTTTCCCTTGACCTATTGCCAGCCCATCACACCCCACACCCAGGAGGACTCGAGCCCCAAACCGGCCCTTGGATAATCATGATTTTCTACAGAACATACCCACTATTAGGGCCAAAACCTTGTCCACCCTTCAAAGGAAGTCGATGTTTCCCTATAAAGGTCCCCTCAAATGCAACAGCCAGCCCGTTGGGAGAGGGATTGGCTGAGGCTACGGCCAGCCTACGGGCTTTCTTTGACCTTGATTATGACCCGGAGTGTAGTTGTTAATTGCGAGGCTAGCCTCAAGGTGGAAAACAGTGTCAGTTTCCACTGCCACCCCAGAGAAGGCAAGTTCCGCGGCTGGCGGTGGTGGTGACATGGTTCCTTCCAGGCCCATCTCTTGCCACCCAGAGAGCTGCTCGGAGGCCGCCTACAGGTGCAATCCCGGCACTGCGGCCCGGGCGGCGGGCCGGGGAGGGCGTCCAAGCCCACCAGCGTCTCCGCCGGCCCTTCTCAAAGCCTGAACAGGGGCCCCGGCGTGCCCGCCACCTTCTACCCCCGGTTTTCCCGCGCCTCTGCCCCGGCGCGGTTTGGAAAGGAAGCTGAGAGCCCTCCCAGGCTCCGCAGACTCGAATTTGGGAGGGGGGGTGGGGCGCGGCCGAGGCTTCCCCTCGAATCTGCGGCAAGCCTGGCTCCAGGAAAGTTTTTCAAAGTTCCCAGCAGCGTCTGCCCAGGTCGCCTCCGCGGGGCGAGCAGACGGCGGCAAGCGCGCCAGCCTCGCCGCCGCCTCTGCCGCCAGCAGAGCGCTCTGGGCGGCTCGCTCGCGGGAAGCGGGCCGAACTCCCAGCGGGCAGGCAGGCCCTCCTCCGGGGCGAAAGCCGCAGCTGACGCAGGCGGCTCGGAAGGCGGAAGCTGCCCCGCTCGGACCGCTCAGCCAGCGCCTCGGCGCCTACACCTGGGGCCCCGACGCGCGGGCAAAGGCGCCGGGCCCTGGACGCCCGAGGGGGCGGTCCCCGCTGGGGGCCTCCAGGAGTCCCTGACTAACGATCCCTTCCCTCCTGGACCAAAGCTGCCGAGGGCGGGGGTCGGTGCGGGGCCCCTGTACGGCTACACCGCCCAGAGCGTCCCCAAGCCCCCGAACCCTACCAAGTTCCTCCCCACACTACCCCCTCCCCAGCAACGTGAAGGGAAGGGGCGTGTCCTAGGTGAGCACGCCCTCTCATGAATATTAATAAACGCGCATGCGCCTTACAGGGAGTGCTGGGTAGAGGTGGCCAGCCGCGGCCGCGGCTGCCAGACGGGCTCTCCGGGTCCCTCTCCGGGCGGGCACGCGTCATTGTGTTACCTGCGGTCGGCCCGCGAGCTAGGCTGGGTTTTTTTTTTTTCTTCCCTGCCTCCCCCGCCTTTCCATGCAGCTGATCTGAAAGGGAATAAAAGGCTGCACATAATCATAATAATAAAAGAAGGGGAGCGCGAGAGAAGGAAAGAAAGCCGGGAGGTGAAAGAGGAGGGGGAGCGTCTCAAAGAAGCGATCAGAATAATAAAAGGAGGCCGGGCTCTTTGCCTTCTGGAACGGGCCGCTCTTGAAAGGGCTTTTGAAAAGTGGTGTTGTTTTCCAGTCGTGCATGCTCCAATCGGCGGAGTATATTAGAGCCGGGACGCGGCGGCCGCAGGGGCAGCGGCGACGGCAGCACTGGCAGCAGCACCAGCGCGAGCAGCAGCGGCGGCGTCCCGAGTGCCCGCGGCGCGCGGCGCAGCGATGCGGTCCCCACGGGCGCGCGGCCGGCCCGGGCGCCCCCTAAGCCTCCTGCTTGCCCTGCTCTGTACCCTGCGAGCCAAGGTAGGAGCCCCTCGCCGGGTCTCCCTCCCGGCGGTCCTCTCCCCTCGCGGCGCCCTGGGCGGTTGAGCCCCGCCAGCAGGCTCGGGAGCCCTCGAGCGCCCGACTCCTCGCCCCTGCGCCTGAGCGGCTGCACCTGGGCTGAGCGCGCCAATTCCCCCACGGGATCCCGGGCCTCCTGAGGGTGACCCCTCCAGGCCGGGCAGGGGCGCGTTCACTCGGCTCTTGCCCCCCGGGCAGTCGTCGGATTACTTACGCACTCGTGCATTTTTTTTTTTTTTTGGCCCCGAAATCACGTTAAATCCTTGAACGTAGTTTTGCAAAATTATTTTCACTCAGCGAGAAGGGCTCGTCGGGGCGGGGGGTGGGAGGAAGTCGCCACCTCTGCACTCGAAGAAAACAGCTTTCTCCCGCGCTAACCTTCCTCCCTCCCTCGCCGGCAGGTGTGCGGGGCCGCGGGTCAGTTCGAGTGGGAGCTTCTGTCTATGCAGAACGTGAACGGGGAGCTGCAGAACGGGAACTGCTGCGGCGGCGCCCGGAACGCGGGAGACCGCAAGTGTACCCGCGACGAGTGTGACACATACTTCAAAGTATGCCTCAAGGAGTATCAGTCCCGCGTCACGGCCGGGGGGCCCTGCAGCTTCGGACAGGGGTCCACGCCTGTCATCGGGGGTAACACCTTCACCTTCAAGGCCGGCCGCGGCAACGACCGCAACCGCATCGTACTGCCTTTCAGTTTCGCCTGGCCGGTGAGTGACGACCCGGGAAGGAGGCCAGGCGGAGACTCTCACCCGCGCCTGGCAGAGCCCTGCTATCCCTTGCGAGAGGGATTTAAAGGGCTTCGGCTTGAAACTTGGCGCTAACTGGGGAAGTCTCTAGGAGTGGCGGGTGAGGGAGCCGGAACACTATAGTTAGATCTCGGCTGGGGTAGTCGAGGTGGGTCCCATTCCCGCTGCTGTTTGCTTAGTGCACAAAAGTGAGGATCCCAGAGGGGTTGTGGGACTAGGCTCCTAGGAAGGCCAGTGTAAACTTGAAACTTGAAGTTCCCAGAGTAACCCTCCCCGCCCCAAGCCTCGAGGTCGTTGTAGCTGATCTCTTTGCTTAACTAATTAAACCTGGAGCGCCGTGGAAGGCGACTCGGCGCAGTTCTGGCCTGCTAACGCCGTCCAAATTGGCAACCTCTCCTTTCCCGTGAACTGCTGGGAGGGCGGGTGTGTCCTTCCTGGAGGGTGTGGGGGGAGTCCGTTTCCCGCTGCTCCCCGGGAGATTTTAGCGTGTGCGGGGGCGCTCTCCAGGCTAGGCTCAAGGGCCGGGGGCGGCCGCCGCAGGGGGAAGTTCTCCCGGCCCTCACAGGAGCCGTAGACCCGGGAACCCCCGCCCGCTGCTGGCCCCTTCCTGCCCCCCGCCCCCGCGTGGTGTAGCTCTTGTGGCCTCACTTCCAGCGGTTCTCGGGCTCTGGAACAGCTGTGTTTGCAAACTTCCCCGGGAAGGGCGGGTGCACGTCCCCCGCAAGCCTTCGGGGGCCGTGCCAAGTCTTGGAAGGGGTGGTCTTCTGGAGATAGTGCCTGCGGGTGCAAGTGATAGACCCTTGCCCCCCCCGCCCCATTCCGCCCCCAAAGCAGCTCGAGGCCGGGGCCCAGCTGGCAGACCCTGCAGCGAGGCCCTTGCAACATCCCAAAATGGGTGGAAGGAAGATGGGTGCGATTGCAGAAGGGGAGGAAAGGGAAATGTTGGGGGTGTGCCCTCTGCTTGGCTCCCGCTGTCCAGGAGGCATGACTCATTGCCAAGACTGGGGCTTGGCCCAGCCTGTGCTGGGAGGGTGGGTGGTGAGAGGGGGAGCTTCTTGCCCCAGAGGATTGCTTTCCACCACGTGCTCTAATGGGGTGCACTCTGCTGCCTCCTGTCCGCCGGCATAGGCTGTGATTCTGGGAGGAGGTGAGAGGGGAGAGTATCCGGCTGTGTCTATGTATGAAGCTGTGTCTATGTATGAAGCGTGGGGTGGCTCTTAAAATCCATGTTTACAGGAGCTGGCATTATAAAGTGCCCTCTGCAGTGAGTGAGATAAGACAGTTATCAAAAACTGCCGTGAAAAGGAGTTTATTAAAAAAAAAAAATGAAAACCAACACTACCGTATGTGAAGCTCTCTTGAAGTCCAAGGGCTGTTTCTGTCGTGGGATTTCATTTTTACCAAGAGTATTTACCTTGTTTGTTAATCCCCTATTAGGGAGAACTTTAAGCTAAAGACCCTGGCTACCTTTAAATCTGGCTGGGTCCAAGCTGACTGAGTACTCACTGCCCTTGAACGTGTGTTTGGAGTTTAGGGGGAAGGGGCATGCAGGTGGTTCCACCCTCCTGCGGGAGGATCTGTCTGGAGCCCCTCGCTTTTCACAAGACCATAAAAGGAATCTTCTTAGTGATGTGGAAAAGCAGCAGGCTGGCTGAGGCTCATTTTGGAAAGTAGGGTCAGAGGGATGGCTAGCATGAAAACCGAGGCTTGATTCCTAGGCTGGCTAAGGAAAAGTGACCTAGAAGGTGCGTCTGTCCCCTTTTGACACTTGGCCAGAGAGTCCTCAATGGAAAAGGAGCGGAAATAGTGTGGGAGGGCAGGAGGGGCGATTGATTTGCATTTGCTGGTGCTCTTCTGTGGTTTCAGGCCCCACCGGTCACCAACCATGAAATAGACTCAGCTTTTCTGGAATTGGGGAAGACCAATGGGGCAACACTGAGAATGTGGTTCTTTTGAAGTTGGGACAAATGCATGTATCACTCATAAATAAGTCTCCACCCTGCTGCCCCAAAAAGGCCTGCTGTGAAACATAAGCTTTACTTCCCAAGAGAAAGTGGAGTTTAGGTGTGTTTGTTTTACTGTATGTGGTTGGAGAAAGGGCACAGTCCGTAACTTTCAAGAATGATTCCAGGCTGAGTGTAAACTTAACTGAAACACTTAAGTAGCTATTTAAGTAGAGAGCACAGCTTCATTTAGTTTGGTAATTAACTGTCTTTTAAAACTGATTTCCTTGAATAGGAAATAAATGAACTTAGTACGCAATTCAAGAAGTAACAAGAAAAGGATATATGGTTCAAAACAAAACTCCAAACCACTTTGGGCTCCCAACCCCTAGCAGGCACGATTACCATTTGCATGAGTCCCCCCCAAATTTGCTGACACTGGAAGAGCTAGGGTGCAGGGGCAGGTCAATGTAGAAGGTCATGTAATTCATGCCTTTTGTTTGGAATTATGACTCCCTATCCAAGCAACTGTTCATGTTCTAGAGAGGACAAGGAGGAAATGATTTGGACAGATATGAAGTACAATCCCCGTTGTGGTGTGCATGTGAAAGGCTTTGTAGAAGTGGGCTTTCCTGCCACATATCATATCTGAGTATGTCTCACTTGGTGTCCAGTGCCCCAGCTCTGATATTAGGGTAGTTTTTTACCACTGACTTCAATTCTCATACTGTTGCTGCTCCAAGGGGCTTCAGTTGCAGCAACTAGCTCGATTTATGATTCTCAAATTGGGGGACTGAGTGATAAGAACATCATTATGGGAAGTAATTGAGCTTAACAAGAAATAATTTAGGAATAACCACTTATAAATCACAGAAACAGTTAATTTGTAGCTCCCCAAATTAGTGGTAAATCCCAGTAGTGCCTGCTTATTAAAAATGCATTAGTGTAATTACCACTACTCATCCCCAAAAGCTTTTTGGGAACTTCAGAACCCCAGTTAGCTGTATTCTGCATTGGTGGCCCTAGAGTGAAATGAATCTAGAAAAACGTTGGGGGAAGCAATTGGGGTATCTGGCTTATTAGCCTTGTATTTAAATTCCGTTGATCCTATTAAAAGACTTGCTGAGATCAACTTAATATTTTTTTAAGGAAAATCCAATGAAACATGATTCTTCTGTGTGAGGGATGCCAGCTTTGGTCCCCTTCGTACTTCAGGCCTGAATGACCAATTGGCAGGAGCTTGGGAATACTGGCTGCCATGATGCTAATCACAGAATGGAATTGACAGGCCCTTCTATGCCTTTTGCTGTCTTTCCCGGTCCCTGAGCTTCTGTAGATATGGTATAGGCACGTGGAGGTGCAGGGATGGGGTTCTGATTTAGCCGGCTCCTTTCTGCAGTCAGGATTTGCATCCTGCCTATGTGGTCAGCATCTATACAAAGAAACAGCACGTGTGTATGTACGTGCTCAGAGCAAGGGACTTTCTGCTTGTAGAGAAAACATCTTTTGCCCTAAAAAGTCTACCTTAAACCAAAGGGATGAAGTGACGAGTCTGTGTTGCAACACTGGGCTTGGGGGAAGGTGAAGCTGTGCTTGCTTTGAAGGAGCTGTGCTAAGTATCTGCAGAATGGCTGCTCCAAAAATGGAATCTTTATTCCAGGTACTTGGTTTCTAATGTATTTTTTTTCTCTTGCAGGTGTAACCTTTGTTTCTTCCTCCTTGTTGTCTTGTTTCTTAGCAACTTATTCAAACCTCAAGTACTTATATGACTTTGCAACCCACCAGTTCCACACCCATAATTCTACAGGGATTTAAGACGTTTCTAGAAAAATGGTGAAACTTTTGGTGTGGAGGCTGTTGG